AGTAAACCCCTTCCAAGTCACTGATGTAATCTCTGCCAAAGTGAAGTTCGCCGTCACGAACTTCCTCCAGTCCTTCGCTCCCAGACGGAGCTGGTTCAAAGCGAACCATACCCTCAGGTGCTCCGGGCATGAACAAGTGTAGAAGCACCCCTCTATATCCGCTATCCACCTCATCGCAGCAATCGGATCCTGCGTCCCATCGAACTCTGGTGGCTTCGTGTTGCTGAACTCTCGGAACAGCAACGAGTCACCCCCCTGTGGCCTAGCAGCGGCCACAGCTGCGGTAGCTGCGGCGGTTGCAGCCTCAGTCAATGCGGCGTACCGCTCATCAAACGTCTCCATCAGGGTGGTCTTAATAGACCCAAACATCTCCAGGATCTCGGCCCGGATCGCCGCAGCTACCTCCTCGTGAATCATCTGACGAATCTCCTCGTCACTCACCCCGCTCGAACTCGCTCCGTGGCGTGATCTAACCATGATGTCTCTGAAATACAACATAGAACTATCAGAGACTCCATCGAGAATAATCGCACTCGATAACGCAACCCTACTCAGTCTCTGATATCCAGGGATTCTTACTTGGGTCTCCCTCTGACCCGGTGTCTTCGGTAGTACGGGCCCAATACTACCGACCACACCGCATCAGCATTCATCCCAAGTCTTCCTCCCCAAACCCCGGATAATGAGTACTCTACTTCTGATATGCACTATCTACCCGCACACTAGCAAAGCATCCCATATCGGCAAACTTCCCTAGACTAAGGCATCACAAATTAGGCCACTCTAGTCCTATCATGAATACCTAGTATTCTAGCATGCATAACAATTCATATCATATAATATTGTAAGGTATTTTGAGGATCTTTACCGTTCGGGTGCTGACTGATCGTACACACTGCTTCTTTCTTGCTTACCACAAAACCATTTACAAAAGTTTATGCCTTTATTTAAAAAGTTTTCCTCAAATCCTCGGTTTGAGTTCAGTTACTCCCGAAGGTGCACCCGAATCCCTTAAACCAAGGCTCTGATAACAATTGTAACAACACAAATTTTCAAAAAAAAATTTCATTTTAAAAATAAAGTATTCCCATTCAAAACAAGGCATAAATAATTTAAGTATTATGTCAATTACAAATAGTCTAAATCCCAAGATCATAAAAACATCCTTCAGTGTGTATCGATCACGTCGGCGCCTTCCCACGGTCCTCGCTAGTACCTGAAACACATACATAACAACTGTAAGCATAAATGCTTAGTGAGTTCCCCAATATACAACTTACGCACATACGCCTTTCCAGGCCCTGACCTTCCGGTCCTCAACACAACGCCTTCCGGCCCATAACATAATCGCCTTCCGGCCCATCACATATTGCCTTCCGGCCCACATAACATACATAGTACATGTAACAAATAACTTACCACATATAGCATACATATCACATATCATATCTGACCTTTCGATCACACAGTCAAACCCTTCCGGGTACAGTATAGTGAGAAGACTCACCTCGTGAATGCTGAAAGCTAGCAAATCCTGAAATCACTCGTGCACAATCCGTCGAGCCACAACCTCCCTATAACATCACATATCTCTCATTAACACTTATATCTTCTAAGTGTGACTATCCCTAAGAAGTCAGACTTAGGTCAACTCTGGTCAACGGTCAACGGTCAACTCGACCGGACTCGGCGAGTGCCATGGCGACTCGGCGAGTCTAGACGTCCTCCAATTCTCTGAGATTCCCTTTCTACTCGTCGAGTATCCACCTTGACCCGACGAGTTACTCCTGGAAGAATCGCGGGGCCACCCCGACTCAACTCTCCGATTCTGAAGAACAACTCGACGAGTCCCAGTTAATCTTCAAGCTACTCGCCGAGTCTGTTCATCGAACTTGGCGAGTCCATGCCATGCAACCGCTCAAACTGCATCCTAAGGTCAGAACTGCTTCGACCATTCCTAGGTCTGGCCTTCCTAGGCTGATCCATCACGTAAAGTCCTCATTTCAGTGCTCATGATACACCATATGATTCATAATTTACATTTTGACCTAAGGCATAAGGATTCCAATCCAAAACCTTCATCAATTCCCGAAATGCACAGACATGGGACATTCTGGACCTCCAAAGGTCCCAATACAGGGTTACAATCGACATGGGGATTAGGGTAACATTCAATCTATTCACAAAAGGGGTCCATAAACCCTAATTCCATAATCACATCAACATAGCAGAGTATACTCGAATTCTTACCTGGATGATGTATCCTCTGTGTCCCCAATCCTCAGAATGTGACTCCCTTGCTGCTCCTTTAGCCAATCCCTTCTCTTCCTTGCACAACCACCCTTCTATAATCAACAATGGCCTATAATCCTTGCTCCAGATGCACCCAATCGATTTAGGGTTCTTCTCAGAAGGCTAAAATGAACAATGACGGCCAATAAGCCCCTTTTATACGTCCCAAACCTGAACGGTTAGGGTTTTCGCTAAACAGCACCGACTCGCCGAGTCCATATCTTGACTCGTCGAGTCCAGTCGCGAATCCGCGACCAGGTCTGCGGTCCTACTCGGCGAGTCTAGGCTCCAACTCGCCGAGTCCCCTCTTAAATACTCCAAAAACATAATTTTAACAATACCTGAGATTCCGGGCTGTTACATTTACTATAATCCAAGCAGGTTATAGGTATGTACAAACTCTGTGTTAATGATCTGGATTCATGAAACCGTGATGAAAGTGAAACCCAATATTTCGAAACCTATAAGGAATTGATACGGAACTTTGTTCAAAAATTTAACGAAACATTTTTTTCTGTAGCAATTTTTAATACTCCAAATCATATTCTTTTTATATGTGTGTTCTAGATAAAATGTTTGAAACCCAAGACATTTTTACCCAACGAGATTCAAGAATAATTTTGTTTTGACGAATATGATTTCAGTGTGAGTATATTGTCTAATTCATTACTACTTGATAAATTTTTTCAAAGCATACTTGTCCCTGACAACACTGGCCAAACAGGTAATTTTGGTTACAATTTCTCACACTTATGTTTTGTTGTCACATGTAACGAAAATTTTCAACCACCCATGAAGCCTTATAAAAAGTGCCCTTTGATACTTCTTAATAAGTATTCGATTGTATTTCACGGGAAACCACACAAGCAATTAATCATCTCTCTTGATGATTAGTGAAGTGATCTTTTCCTAGGATCTAACTGCCTTTATGTCGAAATTTTATTTTTCGACATCACAGACTCAAAGTTTTTTTATTTTGTTTCTTATCTTTTTCCTTGGCACACATTGCACTCACGAAATCTTTGAGATTCTAAGTAATACCAAATCGGGCTGTAGATTTCGCAAGTATAACAACCTCCATGCCGAAGGTTTTTGATACTTATCCATGGGGTACTTTCAAAACGAAGTCTGATGTTACATTTTGGTTACTTCGCGATGTTCTAGGAAAAAGTACTCATCACTTTTCCTGACATGGTGTGCTTTACGGCTGTGGGTATAACTTTTAAGGAAACTGTGGCAAACTATTAATGACAAGCTTTTGGAATTCAAATTGCTTCAACATATAAAAAGGTTATTGGGGATCTTATTCCAACTTTCCGCTCACAATATGATTCACCAACGATTTGTGATTTTATTCTTTCTATTCTTCAAGGGTATTTCAAAAACCCTAACAATGGCTACTCATGAATCACAAACCACTGATGATGTTTCTTCTCAACCTCTTATGAATATTCAAATCGCAAACTATCAAGTTCAAGGTGATGAAAGTGTTTATCCGTAGGAGTTACAAATGTTCATCATTGCTCTAAAGAGTTATGTATTATCAACTAGTATGTTCAATTCGTTTGTTGTTCCCCTTTCTTGGTTATCCCTTGTTGGTTCTACAACAACATACATCAAAACAATGATGATTGTTACTTTCCAACTGATAAATGATAAGGAGTTTAGATTGTCAAAGAAGCTATTTGCCCATATTTTGAATATTCCCAATTCTGAACCTTTTTACAAGGTTACGAATGAACAGGTGATTCACATGTTCAATGAGATGGGTTATCAACCTAATTTAACCAAGATTAACGAATTCAAGAGACCAAGGTTGCCTTGCATTTTGGAATTTTCTATTTGGAATCTATCTTTGGTGTTTAAAAGGTCATAGTGTGGGGTTGGACAATGCACATTTTGAGGTATATGTAATGGTTGTTGGAATATATTACGATTTACAAGTTTATTATGCTAATCAACTATGGGACGAATTTGTTAAGAGTATTGGGAATATTAATGCGAACGATGGAATTTCTTGTGCTAGGTATTGGAGTCTCATACTTCAGTTCATTTATGACAAAGAGGGTATTCAAGTGCCTAATAATGAAAAAACCATTGTGTTTCCTTTATATCAATTTCCCAAGACAGTTGAAGACAATGTTGATATCTTTCCAACTGTTGCTCGCATTCCAGATTTGATGTTGAAAAAGGTAGAGCGTTCGAATCATGTTTTGGTGACTTATTTGCAACAGATCAATACATCTATTGAAACTGGGATTTTATTATCGAAGATGTCAGAATGTCCTTCAAAAAAGTGAAGAGGATCTAAAAAGGAAGCTCAACCAAGTCCTTCAAAAGTTAGTCCAGTTGCAAAAGTGGCTAAGTCACTAAAGAAAGTTATTGTCAAAGAAAAACTTTTGAAGAAAAGCTCAACGCCTGTTGTTACGGAAACTGTGAATCCTTCGAAGGATGTTGTACCTTCGAAATCGGGTGTTTTGAAGAGGCTCAAGAAAATGGCTCAGAAACCTTGCTATTCTCCTGAAAGATCCGGAAGCTTTTCACCATATTTTGTCAAAAAGCCTCAACTTGGTCGGAAAGGTGTTGTAATTCACGAAATACTCATACCTATTTCTCCACAAATGAAGTAAAGGTATGATGAGGATATGGCTAAGAAAATATCCAAGCAATAGAAGAAGTATAGGAAGCTAATTTTGTAAGAAGACTCAATGGATGATGAAGTTGTACTTGAATCTCCATTAAGAAATAATCAGACGTGTAATTCTTCACTTGTGAGGGATTCTCCAGTTAAGTCGAATCTTGAGGAGACTGGAAATCCTGATGGCACTGTGAAAACTTCTACAGTGGACAAAACCATCAACCAAGGTAAACAACCGAAGATTTCTACTCCTAAGCAAGCAACTGTCATACCACCCAAAGTTTCGTATACCGTATCATTTCATGAGGAAGTTCGAACTTCAGGCATCACTGCAAACATATCTGATATGGATGCAAATGTCAACAAGGGTGATGGAGTATCGACAAATAAAGCCCAAGGTAACTCTTCTATTACTGTCTCATCTACTTTTGAAACTTCGGGGGTTGATCCTACTGTTTCCTTACCTCCATTTCATACTCCTATTCCTACCTCATTACCTGCAACCACACATTCCCATCTCAATCCACCGAAGAACCCAAAACAATTCATGACGATGAAATAGATAATGGAGGGTTCTTAGGTTCCTTTGCTGATATCGAAGTTGATCCCGAAGAGGAGAATATTCCTTACAATATGCTCATGTATGGGAAACAGTTCAAGATCTTAAACCGAAAAATCAATTATTTACTCCAGCTACTTGCTGATGCAGGGGGTAAACATTTGGTGTCTAGTATCGAAGTTGATGAAAGCTCAAGAACTTTGTCTTCTAAACAAAATTGATCAGTCTAACAAAAATAACGAATTAAGGGTCAAGGCTCAATCTGACACCTTTAATGGAGAATTAAAGGAGTTGAAAGCAATTACAATGCAACGACATGTTCTTTTCGTTCAAGATGTAAAGACAGTCCGAGAAGACGTAAATCAAAAGATTGAAGAGTTACGATCAGAAATTGGAAATGTGATAAAGGATTTAACAAACAAATACTCTTCTATTGTCGACAAGGTAGATATTATTGTGGGTGCAGAAACAAAAACTGATCAGTGTTACAATTCCATGCTTCCGAAGATGGATGCACAGGCTAAAGTCGAGTCAAAGAATTTTGGGAAGATTGATTCGTTTTTGGTTGAATTGAAAGTGATGATTTCGAAGTCTGGTTCTTTATCATTATTCACTCTTGAGTTTTTAACTCAAAAGTTTCGACTGCTTGAATCCACAATTCATTCTGAATTGGCTCCACTTTCGAAACTCCTCAACTTACTACCAATGGATGCCCCACCTGTTGTCACAGGGTTGCAAGGGGGAGAAAGAAAAATTATTGGTGTAAGTAAAAGTGAAGGAGCATCTAGAAAGACTAATGGAGATGCAAAAGTTGTGGGAAAAGTTCTGACTACTCAAATTCCAACAACTTTGCCAAAGAAGACTGATCCAATCATTTCAACAACAACAACAACAACAACAATACCATTGGCAAAAAAGGATTCTTGTTGGTGGTTCTAGTTCTTCATCGAAACCTTCACCCACTAAAGCAGATAAACGAAAAGGGAAAGGTGTTAGTGTTGAACCATCGTAGGACGAAAGAAAAGAAGGTGTTGAAGCTAAAATGGAAAAACAACGTCATATTCAAAGCATTCTCAAGCTTTGTCAAAATGATCCTCCAACTTTGAACAAAGGTTATCCAAGGAAACTACATAGTTATTAGAACATTGAAGCTATGGTAGGACATGGAGAAATGCATGATTTTGAGAAGAAACCGAAGAAGAGTTATGCACCTGAGAATTCGGATACGAATTAGTTGGACTTTACCATCAACAAGATGATGTTTATTACTTAACAATATCAGGTTGTTGACTAGTCCGTTGATAAGGAAGAGTGCAAGAAGTTAAAACTTTGATTTCATGTTGTACTTGGGAAAGAAGAAGAAGAATAATTTTGGTCACTTATAAAGATAGTTCGAGTTTTGAGTATCTCCTAAGATGTTCTATTCGAGGGTGTACTTCAAAATTTTCGATATCATGTGGTCAAAGGAAACAATACCAACTTCCACTTTTCTGTGGCTGAATTTCCTCTTATGAATTTGAATGACTTAATCTCTGTCGCAAAGATTCTTAAGGTCAATTATGAATCGAAACTTCACGGTACAAACAAAGAAGAATATCTGTTGGGTCTTGCTCATATCAAGCTATTCTTCGACAATTATTACGATTGTTTGCTTTGATAGATGTCGAATTAGCTTTGACAATGGGTAAAGAGATTACTATATCACAATCATTATTGTAGAGTAAAGCCGATTTACAACCTTATGATGATGGATAAATTTTTCTAAAGCTTATTGGAATAATTTCTGTTGGTAAAAGCAAGAAGGGAAGGATGACAAAGTTTTTATTCCAAGCATGCAATGTCGAAAGATATACTACTGCACAGTATACGAACTTGAGGATTCGTATGAATAATTGTAAGAAGAAAAATTAAGGAGATAAGACTGTATTGAAGAAGGTGATGAATTGGTATGAAAAGATTCAAAGTTCGATGCATCAAGCTATCCAGATGTTGATGACCTAGGTTCGACACTTCTCACAAAGGGGAAAATGTTGACGTCAAAGATGGTTCTAAGGCGTCGAAGGTCAACGGATAGTTTCATTATGTTGTAACTTTATTATAAGGGTACTTTAGTGTCGAAGCTTATCATGTCCATGCCGTTATATTTTTTGTATGCTTTCTGTTCCCTATAAATAGGTGATCAGTACTAGAGTTAGATAAGAACTTTCTTGTAATTGTCTATTCTCTGTGTACTTATTGAAAGCATAATCGATCCATACATATTATATTTAGATCTTGTGTTCATCATTTTCTTATTACTCTGATTCTATTATTCATACTCGATTACGTAACTACTACAATTTGTCTTGTCATCTTCTTGAAAAAGCACTCAAGTTTGAAGAAAGATCGGATTTTGATGCGGAGGAACTTTATCTGGAGTTAAAATTATTTGAGACATTGGAAGCCAGTGAATTTACCAACCCTATAGATGTTTTGAAGTATTCAAAAGAACATGATTATTTCCTAAATGCAAACATTCCATATAGAATATAGTTGACTATTCTAGTAACGGTGACATCTGCAGAAATGAATTTCTCAAAATTGAAGAGTTTGAAATCTTACTTACACTACACAATGACCCAATAATGACTTAGCGGTTTGCCAGTGATATCTATAAAGAACGAAATCATAAAAGTATAGACTTCAAAGAGTTGATCAACCAATTTTAGGCATGGAAATTTCACCAGACCCAGTGGGGAACCCGATTGACCCACCCTAATTGGGGACAGGTATTCCCCGTAAAACAGGTATCGGGTATCGGGTATCAGGCAAAGGATCCCTATTAGGCTAAAATTGGGGATGAGACAGGGGCTTGGTATACCAATCAACAACCGGCCCCTCCCTCACTTTGATGACATTATATATATATATATATATATATATATATATATATATATATATATATATATATATATATTATTGAATTTGATTTAAGTCCACTCAGCATGATTTAATCTGTTTTAGAGAATCAGAGATACAAAATCCATATACCAAATTATATTCACAGTTACAGGAGCACGTCGATCATCATTTCATTCGACAGTTCGTATACCAAATCACCACTTGTCATTTTGATTCTTGTTAAACTTTATGATTGGTGTAAACTCAATCTGATTATGGCATTTAGATGTTAGGACAGATAACCACATAACTAGATATCATTCATCTAGAAAAGGAGCTCCAAAATTGGGAAGCACTGTGTATCTCAGGACCGATATACATAGTTCTTCTTACTCTTACAACTCCTTTCTCGTCTCCATTTCCATCATTTAATCGACTATTAAATCGTAATATAAAACTCTTGAATATTATAACTCAAAATACAACTCAGTTATGCATGATTTGATTCAATAACTTTATTGAGTTCATAATGTCAAATTATACACAAACCAATAATACTTAATGATTAAGTCATTTATATGAGTCAACCCATTAAGCAATTACTCATATATGCAAATCTACAACTTAGTAACGCACAAGTTACAACTTATATGACTTCATTCAATCTGATTATGTGTCACACCCGAAAACCGGAACGACGGAAACGTTCTGGGGTGGAGGACGTCATGTTTAGTATTAAAAGACATGCATCATAGTAAGCAAAGTAATAAATAACCATTTCATTAGAAAGAAAGTGTTTAAAAAGTGCGTGTTCATAAAACATACAATACATATGCAAATAACAAAGCAAGACTTGGAGCTATTATGCTCCATCTTCTACATTCCTAGCGCGAGTACCTGTCTACTAGTTCCCTGAGAATACAAGTTATTTTAAAGAGTTTATCAACAATTAAGCTGGTGAGTTCATAAGATTTTAGTGATGTATGTAAGTTGTAAAAAGTTTAGTAAGATGTAGTAAGTTTGTAAGTTCTTTTTAGAAAATTTTGTCTGTTCCTCTAGAAAACCCTATATTTCCTGCTTTGAATGAGAGATAAGTAAAAATGACTCAACAATCCTTTCTATGAGTACTAAATGGATACAGGTTATATAAAAACATAGAGTAAACAGACAATCAATTGTGCGTATCCTCCCTAAGGCCACAACCAAACAAGGAATGAGGGATGAGGCGGATGACACACATCCTATTGGTTGTTAGATCATCCTTGTATATAACCCTTGTGTATTCGTGTGGGACTCACGGAGTTAATTGCAATAGTTCCTTTACAATTTATGAAAAGATTCTTTAAGAAAACCCTTATTTCTTATAATAAAATAGTAATCATAGTATTTCCTTCTATAATAACTTAGTTTGTACTAGCTATATATAATCTAATATCGAACAGATAGTTAATTGTGTGAATCTGCCCTAAGCCCACAACCAAACAAGGAACAGGGAATGAGGCGGAAGGCACACATCCAACTACCTATTGGATATTAATTATATATAACCTTGTATGCATAAACTAAGGTATTATAGAGTTAACTACCTAAGGTCCTTTAAAAATGGTGGTTTAATAAAATGGATTAAACCCTTTACTGGTAAGTTTCTAGTTTTGACTACCAAATGTTCTATTTGAAAAGTATGTTTTGTACTAGAAAGTTGTGCATTGAATTAGTGTCCTATGACCTGAACCATACCTGGTACTCCTTATGATTACTTAGTGTATACGGAATATATATGAAATTAAAGTAGGATAGATAGTAGGCTGGGTGAATCTGCTGTAAGACCACAACCAAACAAGGAACTAGAAATGAAGCGGAAAGCACACATCCTACTACCTGTCAGACCCCACTATTATATATCCCTGATGTGTACCCAAAGGAATCATAAATTTAGCATTATAGGTCCCTATCTACTGAATGTACTAGACCCGATTGTTCTGTTTGTTGTTTGTAAGTTTTCCCTAGTTTATAAATATTTTGACTCGAAAATAGTTTGCATTAACTTTCTAGTGGAATTGTCACTATACGAAAGTAATCGGAAAATGTAAGTATTGTAGTATTGCATATAGTAACTACTGTTG